TTACCAGTAGACTAAGGGAAGTGATTCTTCCTCTCTGTTTGGCACTGGTGAGACTACATCTGGAATACTGTGCCCAGTTTTGGGCCCTCCACTACAGAAAAAAATGTGAGAATCCAGCAGAATGCAATGAAAATGGTTAAGGAGCTGGGACACATGACTTATGAGGAGAGGCTGAGGTAACTGGCCTTATTTAGTCTGGAGAAGAGAAGACTGAGGGGGGATTTGATAGCAGCTTTCAACTAAGGTGGTTCCAAGGAGAATGGAGCTAGACTGTTTTCAGCAGTGGCAGACGACAGAAAAAAGAGCAATGGTCTCAAACTGCAGCAAAGGAAGTTTAGATTAGATATTAGGAACAACTCTCTCACTAGTAAGGTAGCAAAGCACTGGAACTTGGGGTGCACAGATACAGATTTTTGGAGCTGATACTGATACCCTATTTTTAAGGAGGCATATCAGTCGATACCGATCCAATTTCTCATACCAGCCTGGCAGCCTGAAGAGCTGTGTGCAGCTGGTAGGTCTGGCATGGTGGAAGGGAAGGGATGTAGGGGGCGCAGATCAAGGCTCCTGAGGTGAGGGAGGAGTGGGGCCGGGGCAAGCGCTACCCAACCAGGGTGAGGCAGGCGCAGGATGGAGCCTCAACTTGTCTGGGGGCCACAAGAGGGAGGGAGGCAGGGGGCAGGCTCCCGCCGCTGGTCCAGTGGCTCATCTGGCACTCACACACTGGTCCAGTGGCTCCCACTGCTTGTTCAGGAAAGTATGGGAGAGGCGTGTGCCCCCAGATATGTGCTCTTTCCAGCAAGGCAGGGCTGCACTTGAGGCAGGTGGCAGAGGCATTGGAAGGGGGCTGTGAGGGTCTGCAGCCACCCCAGAAGTCACCGTAGCACCCCCATCCCCCTCCCAGCACCATTGCTGCCCATCCAGTGTGCAGCCCCACCTTGTCCCGCCTCACCAGGAAGAACTTGGCACAGCCCCAGCCTGCCCTGTGCAAACCCGGGAGCATACCCCCTCTCCCATGCCCTCCCAGATGAGCAGCGAGAGGCTGGACTAGCCGGATGAGTAGGTGAGAACTGGACCAACAAGCCTCTGGACCAACAGCACACAGCAGCAGGGATGAGTAGGTAAGCACTGGACCAGCAGCACACAGGAGCAAGAGCCGCCCCCCAATCCCAGACAAGCTGCTGATCTGATGTATGGGTGCACCTCTAACTGGAACAGGTTAACCAGACAGGTTTTGGAATCTCCATCCTTATAGGCTTTTAATACCGGGCTAGACAAGGCCTTGGCTGGGCTGATCTAGTTAGGGATGGCCCTGCTTTGAGAGGGAGAGTTGAACTAGATCTCCCGAGGTCCCTTTCCACCCTTAATTTTCTATGATTCTAAGTAATCTGGGAGTATCATGTCCTCTAGATGGAGAGGACAGAAGTTGTTTCTCCCCACCAAGAACAGTTCCTGGCTCCATCCCAGGGTCACCCTCATCAGGAACACACATCAGCAGTAAAAAAAAAAAGGAGTTCTGTAATGATAGGACAGTTCTCGGTCAGGGGTAGGCACAAAGGGCATGGGCAACCTCATGATCTCCTCCAAGCGCAGGGTAACAACTGCTGAAGATGGAGGGCACAGGCAGAGTTCCAACAGGCCTGCTGTGCTGACCTAGTGAGGAAGGGAATCTCTCCCAGGACAGGTGCATGGCTGTGTTTCAGGTTGGGAAGAATATGGAGGCTACTACTCAGGCAGTGGCCATGGCAAGACAGACCACAGAGATGCTGCCTGACACTAAGGCTAAAGGGACATGCAAAACACTTTTATAACAACCCTCAGGTAGCAGGCCGAGAGTATTCTGGGTGTTCACCACATGGCCCCACCTCCACAGCCTTCAGCCTACCTCATCCTCTGTCGCTGACAACCAACACCCCTTACTGGGGCCAGTGTACCTACAGCACCTTCCAGTACCCGTTCCCCACATTTGGGGTTCACAGCAGACCCTGAACCAGGACACACACAGGAGCATGAATGTTCCAGTCAGGCTGCACCCCTACCCTCTCCAGGCTGTAGTTGCCCAGACAACAGGCCAGGGATACTAGCAGCTACTTCACTCAGGTACCCACTCCCAGTAGCCATGGTCTTCAGGCTACAGCCTACCAGCAGTGACCAAACTGTGCTGTAGTCACAGGAATGCATTCCTCTCTCTCCCTCCAGCAGACCTACCCACCGTAGTAATTGAGGACCCTGCCTTCCAAGTCAGTGGTTTGAGCATCACTAACCCCAAACCCCAATGCAGAGGCAGCCCTTCACTCCTCTAGGAAGGGCCATTTGCCATCAGTCTGTGCTCTCCAAGCTCCTATACACAAAGCTTCCCCATCACCCTGCAGCAAGACTGGGACTAGGGCTCTGGACTGCACCTGGTCACAGCCCCACTTGTAAGCAAGTATCTTTGCTCAGGACATCTAGAGACCCACAAAGCCCTCCTGGTTGCAATCCTTTGGGAACCTTTGAAGACAAGGCCTCTGGGAAGCATCTGAAGATGTTTGTTCTCCAGTGCCCTGGCTGCAGAGCTACATGTTCTGCTGTGTTTTGAAGAGCTCTAAATACTCTGATGCCAAATATCTGCCCAGAGCTAAAGAACTCCCTCCACCCTCCCCTGGAGCTTCAAACATAGGTCTGGCCATGGCTAAGACAAACTTGGATATAGGTCAAACAGAGAAACAGAAATTGCCTACATTTAAGAGTGAACCTATTCCATAGGAATCGCCCAAACCTGCTAGATGTTACAACAGTCTTTGCTTAAAGAATTATTTCTGTGACACTGCCTTCACTTAAGCCTAAGACACCACTAATTTGAAACAGATACACTGAAGATCACAGTATTATACTTACAGCATGGCACTAAAAACATTAAGACCATTAAGATGCATACTTGAAGTGTCACATGCATCCTGTTGAGCATGGGACAAGTTACCTCACCTCTCTGTGGCTATTTCCCCATATCTGAAAAAGATGGGACCATCACCTGGCTCAAAAGTTGTGTCTTTTGAGGTGTACTCCAATAGCATTTTTTAGAAATTTTAAGACTCTTATGAAATTGGATTTGTTTACTATTATGGTGGTAGACACCCCAAAATACCAATGATATGACGACTTCTGTTGAGCAAGGTATGCAGTCAGGAGAAGTTATGGAAAAATTAGACAATAAAGATCTCTGCATTATTAACACTGGAAATACAACCCAGGTTACAGTGAGAACTACAACGATTCTTAAAATTCTTTTACCTGAAGATGTGCTACGTAAAAACAACACAACTTACTTAGTAAATCCAAGCTGATCTATTGACTTTGGCAGCAAAAATAAACAACTAAAAATGACTAAAAATTTCCGATCACGTTCATTTGTGTGGTTCTACATAAAGCAGCGGTCGGTAGCATTCAGCCTGTGGAACATCTGGCCCATGAGGCTGCCCTGCACTGGAGACAGGTAGTGGGGCATTACATGCACATTGCAGCTGGGAGCAGAGGAAAAGCAACAGTAGGGAAAAGAGGTGGCAGCTAGGTGAGAACACCAGCTTGCTTCAGACTCAAGATGAGTAATTTCAGCCTGTAGCTCTGAAAAAAATTGCCAATTACTGACATAAAGCACTGAGTTAACGAAGACTCAATTTACTCTAGGGCACTTATTACTAGTGATCACATTTGGCAACCTGAGATTCCATCCTGATACTAAGATTCAAGAAGAATTTGCCCACATGTAGGGGTGGAAAATAAAGTTTTTTAGTTACTGTCTTGTGAACATTCAGAGCAGCCCATCTCAACTGGATATTCAGTTATGCTTACGAGGATTTAGAGGCAGTCTGGCACTATTTGATGCTCCGTTTGTCTTTAACAAGGTTCCAGGAAAGTTCAGTTAATCAAAAAGCAAGCAAACGATGTTATATCAATTATATTCCAGTGTTACTTGCAATACTGAATACCTACATTACTACAATGGAGTTGTTTGCAGTCAGAACTGAAGCTATCCACTTCGCATTGGTAATATTTCTCCGGATGTGTACTTAAGAGATTGCTACAACTGAAAATTTCTAGACACAAAATTGAAAGAAGTTTCCATTGTAACATATTAACATATAACCAAGATTTACACCCACTTTCCCAAGTGTATCCCAGCATAAGTTTCATGAGTGTGAAGGGAAAAAAACATGGTTTTGGCAACAGAAGGCTGGATCTTAAGATAAATGAAAGATCCCAAATACAAAGGAGATGAGGTTCAAGACACTGAGGTTAAAGTTCAATTTACTTATGCACATGACCTTTCATTTCCCTCAGCACATTTTTTGCTACTATTTAGGAGCACGTGAACCCGATTTCCTCATTGTGGATTTACTTCCCAGCCCTCTGCAATACAGGGAGATGGCAACTGTTCCTGTAGCAAGCCACAAAAACCTAAACATTTGTTTCCTTGGGGTGGAACAGGCAAGAAGGCCTAAAAGAACCGCTTGCCAGAGAAGTGCAGGAGGACACAGAGCGCCAAAGTGTTGCAGCTGGTCCCTGGAAATCTCCAAGTTTGTTCGCTTTGCCAGAGCAGATATTTTGAAGAGCTGCTCAGAAGGGAACTACTGCTACCAGCGCTGGGCTTTCGGGCTGGCCACTGAGCCCGAAGACCCTGGCTCCCCTTCATGCCACAGACACGACCCAACCGCGAAGCCACGACCCTTAGCCCCTTCGGGCCCTCGCTGAAAGAAGCAGCCTCCGCGCCAGGGCAGCTGAGGAGGAGAAGGCCTCGAGGGCCGGGCGGGCGCCAGCAGGGAGGCCCGTCGCCTGCCTGCGCACACGAGCCGCCCGAGGGAAGGGGCCAGCCCGCCTCTGCCCTCCCCAGGGCCGCCGGGGCGCTCGGAGCGCAGGCCGGACCCGGCAGGACAACGGGGAAGGGCGCGCGGAGCTGAGCAGCCCTCGCACCGGGGAGGGGCCAGGCCGGGCAGCAGGGCCAGACGCAGGAGCCGGGTACTCACCTGTGCCACGAGGAGCAGCAGCAGCCGGGGCTGGATCCGGCCAGGCCGCACCGCCATGACGCTGCCGCCTATTGTCCCGGAGCGAGCCCGGCCGGGCGCGCCGAGCCCAGTCACCCAGCAACCCGCGCCCGCGCGGAAATCCCGCCCCTTCCGCCCGGGGCAGGGCGGAAAACAACCCGAGCAGCCAATGGCGGGCAGCCGCGGCCCGGAAGCCGGAAGCGGCCCGCGGGAGGGTGGTAGCGCGGCGCGGCGCGGCGGGCGAAATGGCGGTAGGTTGCGGCTGCGCGGGAAGGGCTGGTGCTGGGGCTCAGCTCGCTCGCTCGCTCGGGCCGAGCCCTTGCGCCTCCCGGCGCCGAGCGCGTGTGTGGATGCCGCGGCCGCGGGGGGGACGCCGCTCGCTTTCGCCTGGTGCACAGAGAGGGTCCCGAGGCGGCGGCGGCGACAGTGACCCGGGGCTGGAACAGCAAGTCCTGGGGCGAGAGGCGGAGCCGCGAGGCGTGGGGTGACCGCTCCCCTCGAGGTGGCACGGCGGGACACGAGCGGGCGCGGGCTGCTCGCTGCGGGCCCGGGGCTCCCCGCCCTGCTGCCCTCCCCGGGAGCCCCGCGCTCCCGGCGGCAGAGAGGGGCACAACTCAGTGCCACCACCGCGCACCTGCTTGCTGCCGGCTCCTGGGGGAGGGCCACAGGTCACGGAGGCAGCCTGGGGGGATGCGCCCTGCAGCAGGCAGCTGCGTTCCCCGCACCGTTGGAATGAGCCGGCCATGACTTGAAGTTACCATGAAGTAAGTTTAGATGGGCTATCCTGGAAAATGCCTTCACTTAGAGCAGGGAGGCAGTGCAACAGAAGCTGTGGGCTCTCCATCCCTGAGGGGTTCAAGAAGATGTTGAACAGAGACTGATCGGGGTAATCTAGGCATAGCAATCAATGCCTATGTTCTGATGTGGGTATTTCCTGTGCTTCTGGGCTCCCTGGTCCCCCCTGGCTGTTCTGTCCAGTGTGTCAGGTGTTTTTAGGCTTTCATCAGAGGCACCAGCAGGGAGCTGGTCTGGCTCCATGGAGCCCCTGCCAGCTGGGACCTTGCATTCCTGCCACCCTGCTCTGGGCCCTGCCATCACTGGCCCCAGGACATTGGTGCAGGTCCCATGCTCCCACTGGCTCCCAGCCCGCTCACTCCTAATGCCCCCCAGCCCCATGGTACAGGTACGAGGCAGCGCACAGCCCCAACCCCCTGCTTGTTGGCAGGGAAGAAGCTGGTGCTGAGCATGGGGAAAAGCAGCCCCCACCCACCCCGTGGCCCGTGCTCCCAGCAGCAGCTGCTCGCAGCCCACACAGGGCTGTCCTGAGCAGGCACAGGCAGCACCATGCAGGCTGCAAGTGGCTACAGTGTGGGGCGCTGGGCACGGGGTGGGCGAGGAGTTGCTTTTCCCTGTGCTCAGCACCAGCTTGTAACAACCCCCGCCCCCCCCCCAGCTGCTAACCTGGGCCCCGCCAGCTCTGGGCTTGCATGTTGGGGCTGCATGCGGAGGCAGCAGCTGCAGCCCACTGCCCACTTGCTGCACCGGGCAGTGTTTGCTGCTGCTGTCTGCCCAGAGCTTGCATGCTGGGCAGCCCTCAGGCAGCAGTGGCAAACACTGGCCCATGTGGCAAGCGGGGGGGCAGCAGCTGCTGTTGCCATGCACAGCCTTGATGGGTGAGTCCAGAGCTGGCAGCACCCAGGCTGGCAGCTAGGGTGGGTTACAAGCTGGGGTAGGGGGGAGCTTCCCCTTGCCTGCCCTGTGCCCAGTGCCCTACGCTGCAGCCACTCACAGGCAGCCCCAGTCAGGTTGTGAGTGGCTGCAGTGTGGGGCGATGACCACAGGGTGGGGAAGGGGCCGCTTTTTCCCCAGGCACTTTTCCCTGGTCTCCTTCCCTGCCCTCCCCCTCTTTCCCCCCCGCCCCCTTACCTGAGCTTCTGGCATGCGGCAGCTATTTGGTCCCAGACCAGAAGCCCCTGCTGGGGCTACTGGCTGGGAGGGGCAGGGCCAGGCAGGCCCTGCTGTTGTGGGAGCCCACTGGGTCCTACTGCCCCTGGTTCCTGTCATTTTTGACAGGAACCAAGGGTATATCAATATTAATTTTCATTTTTTTTTAGGGGCCCCACATGCCGGATGGAATGGCTTCATGGGCCGGATCCGGCCTGCGAGCTGTATTTTGCCCACCCCTGGTCTTACCTTTCTACTCAGGATCAGACTAATAGCCATATTTGGGGGCAAGAAAGAATTTTACCTTGTGGGGAGATTGGTATGGACTATGGGGGGTTTTGCCTTCCTCTGAAGCAGGGGCATGGCCCTCTTCCTGGGATCTCTTGAGCATGTATTGACAACATTTTATAAAAGCAGGACATTGGCTGCCATGGTCTCTCTGCTTTTCTTGTGGCAAGGTAGGGCGCTGTGTTTTTTGTTGTGTCAGGACTGACAGCAGTTTTTTGTAGAGTGTAGATTATGGATTGTATAAAATAGTTTGCATAGGGACGATCCTGCCTCAGGCTGGGGTTTGGACTAGGTGACCTAGAGATTCCTTCTAGCCCTGCTTCTCTATGGTTCTAGGTTTGAACCTGCGTGTGTGGTACAAGCCAGCACGTATACAGTCTTCACATTGCTAAAACAACAGAAGTGTATTACAATAATGATAAAAAGCCTAGATTAGAAGGAGCTGTTTTTCTCTAATTATTTCTACTACAGGGGTGGGCAAAATATGGCCTGCAGACTGGATCCGGCCCGTAAGGTCATTCTATCCAGCCCGTGGGGCTCCTAAAAAGTTAGAAGGGCAGTAGGACCCAGGGGAAGCCTGGCGGGCTCCCACAACAGCACGGCCTGCCTGGCCCCACCTCCCCAGCTGGAAGCCCCAGCCAGGGCTTCTGGCCTGGGACCAGGTGGCTGCCCTGGCGCAAGAAGCTCAGGTAAGGAGTGGGGGAGGGCAGGGGAGGACCCCAGGCAGGGAAGCAGCCTGGGGAAAGGTGAGCACAGGGTGGAAAAAGCAGCCCCTTGCCCGCCCTGTGGCTGGTGCCCCACGCTGCAGCTGCTCGCAGCCCACGTGGGGCTGCCTGTGCCTGCTTCAGACAGCCTCGCACGGGCTGTGAGTGGCTGCAGCAGGGAGCGCCGGCCATGGGGCGGGGGAAGGGCTGCTTGCCCCTTCCACCCTCCCGCGCTCAGCTTTTTCCTGGGCTCCTTCCCGGCCTCTTGTCTGCCACATGGCCAGCGCCCTGCTCTACAGCCACTTGCAGCCCAGTGTCTGGAGCAAGCACAGGTAGCCCCATGCAGGCTGCGAGCAGCTGCAGTGCAGGGCACCAGACATGGGGCGGGTGAGGGGCCGCTTTTCCCTCACCCCCGTGCTCAGCACCACCATGTAATCCAGCCCCGCTGCCAGCCTGGGCCCTGCGCAGCACCAGGCTCACCTGTTGGGGCAACAGCAGCTGCAGCCCCCCAGCTTGCCGCATCGAGCAGTGTTTGCCACTGTTGCCTGTGGGCTGTCCAGCCTGCAAGTTCCGGTTGGGCAGCAGCACCCAACAGTGCCTGGTGCGGCAAGCAGGGGGGCCGCAGCTGCTGCCACTGCGCGCAGCCCCAACAGGTGAGCCCAGAGTCAGTGGGGCCCAGGCTGGCAGCAGGGCCGGGTTACAAGCCGGTGCTGAGTGCAGGAAAAAGCAACCCCTCACCTGCCCCATGGCTGGCACCCTGTACTGCAGCCTTTTGCAGCCCATGTAGGGCTGCCTGTGCCTGCTCCAGACAGCCCCGTGTGGGCTGTGAGTGCCTGCAGCAGGGAACACTGGCCATGAGGTGGGTGAGGGGCCACTTTTCCCTGCACTCAGCACCAGCTTCTGGGGGTCAGGGCTGTGTGCTGCCCCCCGCCTGTACCGTGGGGCTGGGGAGCACTGGGAGTGAGTGAGCGGAGAGCCAGTGGGAGCATGGGCCCCCACCAGTGTCCTGGGGCCCAGAGCAGGGCGGCAGGAGTGCAGGGTCCCAGCTGGCAGGGGCTCTATGGAGCCAGGCCAGCTCTACCCTCTCCCTGCTGGTGCAGCCCAGCCTGGCTCCACAAACCCCTGCCAGCTTGTGCCCCACTTTGGGCCCCACCAGTGCTAGCCCTGGGACATTGGTGCCAAGACACTGGGACATTGGTCCCAAGATGGTGACCAGGGGACAGGGCACCTGTTAAGGAATGGGGCTACCCATGCAGCCCTCCACAGCCTGCCAAAACTGGGTAAGCGGCCCTCTGTCCGAAATAATTGCCTGCCCCTGCTTTGGAGCCACATATGGCCCACAGAGTGATTTTTGCCTGGCCCATGGCAAGTGCCTGGGCTGTTGTATGTGCCTGGACACACAGTGGGACTGGGGTAGGGCGGCTCCTGGACCCCATTTCTTGGCAGCCTTGGAAGCAACAGTGGCTCCTTCCAGCTGCCACTGCCGCTGGGCCCATCCACCCCACACCCATCACCAGTGGTGAGACCCATGCCAGCAGTGCACTTGGCTGGGTGGCTGGGATGGTGCCATGGGTCAGTGGGGAGCACTGTTTGGGAGCAGAACAGGCGAGCAGGGCCAGGGAGACCCCAGCTTCTTGGGGTAGCTGGTGACAGTGTGGGACTGGGGCAAAGCTGCGATGCATTCAGCTTTCTCACAGAACTGGGGCTCTGCCCTGGCCTTGTGCTGTCACCTCCCCAAGATCCCAGGGGTTCCATGAAGACCGTCTGGAAACTGTGCAGGCAGGGCACTCCACTGGGCAGATTTGACTGGAGTGCCCTGCCCACATGGTCCCTGGCTGGTTTCCGTGGAAATCCCAGGATCTTGGGTTAGTAACAGCACAGGACTGGGCCAGGGCAGACCCGCAATCTGTTCTCTGCATGCCCCTGCCCATGGAACCTGCTCCCATCACAGGGACTTGTGGGCAGCAGATCAACCCCACCCCATGATCCCAGCCTCACCCGCCCCTCCTGCTCCTGGGCACCACTCCCAGTCTGGTCACAGCACCATCCTACACAAGGAGTTTTGGTGAGTCCTTGCACCAGGAAGAGGTGGGGTGTTGACCTGGCCTGTGGCACCTCAGCAAAACTCCCTATGTGGCCTGTGGGCCCAAATAATTGCCTACCCCCTTATGCTA